TTCTCCATAATCATCCTTTATCACAGGGACTTATGAGCGTGCTACGGCCTAGCTAGCTCGTCGAAAGGATATTCCTGAAGACAGCAATAAGCGATATCCGCCTGGAAAAAGAAGGCTGTTGATCAAGCACATACGTCGTCGGCAAATGACAAAGGTCGTGATCGGGGTCGGTCGAGTAACTCTTATCCATGCACCTATCCGGTTATTTATCGACTCGCGGGGAGAGAGAAAAAAATGCAGGCTAAGGTCTTGGGGCAAGGTATTCAGAGGAGAACGAACGTGTTTTGCCTGGCTGGGTTGGGCCGGAGTTGAGTAAGCTCCCGATCCAGATTTGACACAAGCCACGAGGTCATAAAGCTCGAAAAAGAAAAAGAAAAATGGACCTGGCAGAGCGACACACGAGTGTTACTTACTGTCGTGGTTAAAGGGAAAGAAGCGAGTAGTGCATGGTTAGTTTTGAGATCTTGAGATCTAATCTTTGATTTCCCCGCAGTCGGGCCGGAGCCAGCTGATCCCAAACTCCCTTGCAACTCCCTTGCACCTGATAAACTGGATAAGGAGATCGTGTCACACAAGTAGTTCAAGCCTCTGTAAGTAATATTCGCTACTCTTCCTCTCCGGACTAATGAAACAACACAGGAAGAATGAAACTCACGAATCAGAAAGGCAGTGGATCATGACACGCGCTTTCGCGTGTTATTTGGTAACATCAAAGATATGCTATATGGGATTTCTCGGCGGTGATATCAGGGTATTACATTCGTCGATGTGGTACTATAACCGGAACGACAGCATCAAAATTACACGGTCTACTTGCACCTCAGTCTGCGGGCTCAGCGGTTTGGGTCGTTCTCCGATAAAGTATATGGATTCCGCCACAGGGTATTGTCTATCGGACATATGCAACGACTACGTACATATCTTCTGAACAAAGAAGCAATATTACTAGACAAACAGCGCCTCCTGAATCATTAGTCCTCGTAGTCTGTTGTATGCACCGTTTTCTTTTTGGGATTTTCTTAAGATTCGCTGAAATTTCATTTAAATAAGGAGTGATGACCCCGCCTGATTTCCGACATGGTGTTGACACAGTTCAGCCTTACAATAAGCCTGATACGTTGCGTCTCGATTACATTCCGGAATTAGACTGTTATCATTACCAGCAGTATGTCCCATACACCGAGGATCCCGGCGTGCAACCCTTTATTGGAACCGGGTCGTAATCTCTCAGTAAACAAGGTTTGCGCGGCTGTGAAACAACGTCTATTTGGTATATGTGTTTCTTTGTCCACCTGAGTCGATGTCGGCACTGGTGACTACGACATGCCGCCTCGGATTTCTCCAGCATTGAATTCGTCTCCAGTTCCCAGCTCCGAGGCTGAGGCTATGCCGATTTAATCGACCTTTTCGATGTCTTCTTGATCGAGCGGAGTGTGGTTATCCACCTACATGGTTTAACGCAGCATGCGCTGGGCCCTGGGAGGGTATGGTCCAGCGCCGCTCTTCGCTGATCTCGCACTCGATAGAAGCATTTGATATTCCCGCCCCAGTCCACGATCCACGAAGCTCCACTCAATAGCGTTGTTACGCTCTAGCTGCGGACTTATTCATTTCCCATCTCCTCGTGTTTCATTTCTCCCCACGGAGAGGTCGCCATCTGTACTAGAAGTAAGATGGCCGACAGTCGCCTGTGAGTTCCTAATGAATTGTTTAGCCAGCTGAGCAGTGCGGGTCAGCCGCTGAGACGAAACTAAAGCAAGTTCAGAGAGGACGAATCTGGATATCTGCAATTCCGGATACGACGCTCGTCGTCGGTCGAATAGAATCACGCCGACTTTAAATACAAAGTACCTGGGATCATTGAGAAGTCACGACGGCTTGACGACGGCGGTGATGAGATACACTTATGCTCTAACCTTCACCGTACGTATAATCTTTAGTCATTGCGCTCGATGCCGGTTCACTATTGCTCGAAAGCGGCAGTGGAAAGACAATGCGGGATAGCCTCTCTTATGAGGCGTTTTAGTTCACGCCCAAGAACCAGAAACGCGGCGAAGCAATATGGTCGTAGGGAATCAAACACATGAAACAAGTCAAAGTACATGCGAACCAGGTGAGAATTATCTTGGCGAATTTGTCATGTGTTTGAGGGTATCCGTACGATGGCGGTAGGGTACTTCATTAGTACATGTAGTCATCGGAGATGTGACCTTCTGTAAGCTGGAGCTGAGACCAGTCTGGCTCAGGATCTGTTTACCGGAGAAGCCGTTTGGATGTACTGGAGTGCGTTTTAAGAGTTAGGAAGCGCGGTACGTGAATGGGGAATATGTTTACGGATATCTGGTCGAGCGAATAAAAGTGGGTGCGTAGACTCGACTATACAATAAGATCTGCGAACGGAGATATCGCAAACGCTCGTCGCCCAAGTACGCGATGAGTACCCGCCTGGAACAGGGATAGGGAAAATTTGCACAGAGTCCGCAGGGTAAGAATCAACATAATTCTCCTGATGACATGTCTCGAAGGAGAAAGCAGAGGAATAATGGGCCATCATCATCGGAGGGGTGCAACGCTGGTCACCAATTTTACCCAGGGTCCAAGTCATGAAATCCTAGCGACTCGATAGATACAAAGCGAACGACAACCCTCAGGCAGCAGACGGACGACAGAAGGCAAGACACGAACAACCACTAAGAGGGAAAGGCATACCGAGAGACTGAAAGAATCCTACGAAGGGTTCCTTAGAAAATCCCCCCCTCCAGTTCGAGATCGACGGGAGTTTACAGTTTATAATCCGTGCTTTGTAAGACTTAGCCGAGACCCTCGTACGTGGAACAGTATGGAGAGCGTCAAGAGAGGCAAGGCCCCGTCGCGTTGGTCGAAGCGAAGAATAGTTGATAGTCTAATCTTAGTTCTTCGGGTAATTCCGAGATGGCCCGGTCCGATATCTGGTTGATCGCGAACGACCACCTCAAGATCCTTAGTCCTCAGCGGGTACACAGAGAGCGTCGAAAATTCCAGCTCCTAGGTCTGTGGTACCAATTCTTGCTGACCGTAAGTCTGACCTTGGCCAAAACTGAAGCAGAAACAAATGTTGAACCGACTTGCAATGATGGGCTATTTGCGACTCATTACTTCTTGATTCTCATTGGCCACATCGCTCAGTATCCAATCACAAGTGAGCGGCTACGCGGATGCACCTGCCACCTGGACGCAAAGACTTCGCTTTTGTGACTCAGTCAATCTCGCTGTCCTATTCTTAAGATAGGCGACATCTCCTTGGTGCTGTATGTGACGCGTAAGCGTACTTCAGAATCATGGCTTGGGCTGTACCTTTCTCATAGGATGACGTTCGCGGGGTTGGTCATTTGATCCCCGTTCATTTGCGCAACTCTATTACAATCGCGGTCACCGTATACTGCGCTGACCCGTGTCTTTGGTGGATGCTAACATATTTCTATGCGCTGTAGGTGCACCCACTCTATTGCGTTGCTTCGTCTAGCTAGAGCCGAGACTCATACACTGCATCCTCGGCTGTTTCTACTCGATTTGGTGACCAAGAACGCCCACAGAAAGGTCGCACACTGTCCGCGGTATACCGATAACTTCGTCATATGCATAGCGGGAGCGGGTCATTCGTGCTGCGACATCCGTACGTCCGTCTTCCAGGCTCTCGACCAGAGCAAGAAATCCTCCCGCCACACACTTCCAAGCTACCATTCCCTTATCTGATCGTGATCGCGGGGGCGAGAGTGGAGGCGTTCATCACTTTACCAGATCCTGACGCCGCTCGCGGTACTAACCCCCACACCACCATTAATTGATTCCCGTGGCCATGATCCGGCAAGGCTTGGGTCAATAGAGAATATCATCTCTTCTGTTCACACTGTCATCACCTCCTCCACGCGCTGGCGACGGCCACGAATCTAGAATCGGAGAACTATGTGGAAGCCGGGCCCTCTACTCAATGGCCTTGGATTCAGCTGGTACGCCTCGAGGATGCTGCGTTCCTCCTCAAAGGTGGTCGTAATGGTAATGATATGTCCTCGGACAGAAGGGATAGCGCGTTCTCCCATACGGTGGCGACAGAGCCCTGTCAAGAAATGATGTAGCGTCACCATTTAGTTACCGAAGCGGGTCTCGGGCGGTTTCATGGGATTTCATCGTGGCGCACATCCGAGTTCGCGAAGCCAGCGATTGGACCCCCGTTTCATATTCTCTTTCTTCTGCTCGTTGACACAAGGAATACTTGGAACCCACAAGTCGAACTATCATGCGTTGGAGGGCCCTTCGTTGTTTCAAAGTCCGGCGATCATTGAAGAAAGAAGAATCGAGGACGTGCATGACCTTCATCATAGGATACCTTGCGATATCACTTGTAGCAGACCGATGGGAATACTGGGATCCTGGCTTCACTTGCATATGGTCTCGAAGCTTCAACGTTTAACTTCACGGCCAATCTCAGAAGCTCTAGTCTTACCCATGGAAAATCTGCTGACCCACGTTGGATTTCTAGAAGGCGGTGGAAGTCTTCTTGTCATAATTGCCATATCTCAATGATAAGGTTTCTAATTCCTTCGTAGGTAATGCGTTCTCTGCTCGTCATCATATTTGCCGACGTCCATTTACTAGCGAGCTTTCTGGAAATCTACCTCTTCGTCTAAATATTTACCCGAATCCAGATATTCGCTCATCTATATATCCCGCTGACCTTAGACTTTTAGCTCGAACCTAGTTCACCATGCGTCATCCTACAATTATCGTAGCGAGCTCGGAACGAGTGAAGTAATACTACACAAACGACTGTATCATCATTCCGTTTCTCGAATGTGAAAATTTGAAGGGTTCCTCCACTATAGTTTTCAATAAGCGCAGATCACTTGCAACGATACTTTCCCAGCTAGTAAGAAGTCATCGTCGTTCAGGAATTATTCGAGTACTTGGTACTTAGTACGACACAATATAGGAAACATGTAGGCACCGTACGGATAATTGAATGATCCCTCTTAGCTCAGTTGGTAGAGCGCGTCACTAGTATAGAATTGTACTATCATGTATCATGACGAGGTCAGTCGTTCAAGTCGGCTAGAGGGAAATAAATCAGTGTGTCAGCGTCATTTTGGACTCAAATTTTTGATACAGATTGCTGGTAACTTACTGTAACTTCTGTAAGTTACGGTTGCATATTTATTTGAAGGAATCGTCTTCTACAACTTGCTGGACCATGTTCAACATGCTGATGACCACTGCAAATCTGTCTTCTCAAAGGAATTACAGCTCTTGACGTACAGGACCCTACGAGGACGTGGACGTGTGCTACCCCAGAATTGAGAACACCGAAGCGCATGAAATTGACCGGTGTATGTAACGGCAGGAGCGATGGACGGACGGCGGAGGCTGTATATTTACAATTGGCTCTTGAAATGCGATCGATCGCATCGCAGAGCTGAAAGATCGGCGATGTGAGTTGAGAATCATATTTTGATGATGTCCTTCAAGACTCGATAGGAGAACCTATTGTATATGCACCGGATCAATGATATTTACGGCCCTCTTAGCTCAGTGGTAGAGCGTGTCACTCGTATAAGGATTCCTTTGAATAGTGATGACAAGGTCAGTCGTTCAAGTCGGCTAGGGGGCATTGTTTTGTCTGCGCCCACAATAAACTTCTCTATAAAAAACTACATTTAAAATAACATCGTTACTTTTACTCCAACGGAAGAAACAAAAACACGTCAAACGTAGGCGAACGAACAAGAAAAAAGGACGGTCCGACTAATCGTGTATAGCGAAATGAACCCTATCTCCTACCCTTCCTCCTTCTCAACGACTCCTCCTTCATCACCTCCAGCACCTGTATCCCTTTCCCAACTAGTCGACGGCCTGCTCCCGCCAGGACCTCCATTACTCGTGCTCAAAAAGTCCAACCACGCGCCATCAACTCTGCCTTGAGTTGGACTATGTGTCGGCCCAGCACCAGCTTGGGCATTCGTCGGAGCATGTATCGGCCAATCAAAGCCTGCCGTGCCTCCGCCTGCTCCTGCTGTCCCACTGGACGAGCCCGGCCTGCCATGATCGTCAAACAAGCTAAAGATCTCGCCGCTCCCACGAGACATGGGTGCACTCAGTGGGTAGCCCGCGTATCGCCTCTCGCCTCCGAATTGGGCAGGAGTGGAGAAGTTGCTCCCACCGCCTCCTCCTCCACCACCTCCTCCACCGCCGCCGCCTCCGCCACTGTAGAAGGGCGTATGGTGGTACTGCGCGGAGGGTGGAGGGTAGAAGCCTCCTTGGCCTGCGCTTCCTCCCGCACCTCCTCCGCCACCACCGGAACCGGACCCAGAGGAGGAACGACTGTGCATACCAGGTCCGGAGACGCTGGGTGGGGAGAGACGCTGCTTCTTGTGGGGATTCGGATTGGGATGGGGGTGTCGAAGGGAGGAGATGGGGATGGACGAGGACGACGTTGATGGTTGCTGGATGGGCGTCTGTGGAATGGGCGGCGGTGGTATCGCCATTGCGCGCGGCGGAGGCGGCGGGATATGCGAGTGGTGGGACTGGTGATGCTGCTGGTGGGGATAGTCGAGCTGTCGGGAGAAGGAGTGGGTTAGTTGGTACGTGACGAGAGAGAGACAATAAGGGATTAGAGAAGCAGCGCGGTTGACGGAAGCCAAGATCTGGGGCGTTTGACAACAGCGACGACGGAGTTTCAACGCCATGGCGACGACGCGGACAACAGCGAGCACAACGTGTTCGCCATCGTCGAGCACGACGCCGGAAAGAAGAGTGGATACGCTGACTCACCTCGCCAAGGTCAGCCGCGCCAACGGGTCTGAGTCGCCCACTGCCCCTACGTTTTGACGGCACAGCGGACACGACCTCCTCCTCCTCCTCTTCCTCCTCCTCGTCGAGTATCTTGACCGCGCCAGAAAAGTCGCCTGGCCCACGCGTATCCTTCTCGCCCTCGTACTAGACAAGCCGTCGTCAGTGACCCCTATAGCGACCAGGAAAAAAAGACATGTTCGTACGCGCAAATGTCTCTGAACAATATCCCTGGTATCGCCCGAGCAATATTCATACAGCTTGAGATGATGCCCCGGGCGTTCCTCTAAAAATAGACGAGCGTCAGCCGAGCCCTCTTGGCACCACCAGACTCGAACACGCACCAAAGATGATCACAGCAACGTCCACACTACACAGCACACCCAGCTCGTACGCTTTTTTGAATAGCCCGTTCTTCCTCTGCACAGTTGGTACGAATGGCGAGCCAAAAATAAAGAAGAAATGCCAAGAACTTTATTAGTCTCGTGTCGGGACAAAAATAGCAGCGACCATTGGGATAAAGAAAGATGGGAGGAGGAGAGGATGGAGCTGGGAAGCGTTGGGGGGGAAGGGGATGGGGGAACAAGAGATTAGGGCGTACCTTTAGAAAAGTCACCGACCGGTTTCGTTCATGCTACACCCGCACCCAAAAAAAAATCCATCAGCGCCTCATATCCACCAATACCACAGTCCCAGCATCGAGCACTCACAGTAATCGGCTGTATCTCAATCTTTCTGCGTCCCATGGCGATGTGTGCTAAAGGCAAGGTGGTGGTGGGTACGAGGTGGGAAGTTTGTCGCCCTCTTTGCCCTTGGGTATGTATTGCACTGCCGACATGCCGCACACAAACATCCCCAAATACATCTCGGTGGCGGTCTTATTGCTCCCGGCGATCGGGTTCGACGATTTCGGATCTCATTTGTCTTTTCGATCTCAGTCAATGACCGGAGGAGTGGGATCAATCCATCAACGTGTCCCCATATCCTTGATCCCAGACGGATTACCCACTAATTATTTTTTTTGCGCCTCTTCCCCCTCCTTCCCCTGATCCCAGACGTTTGTTGCGTTTTTTGATCTTCTTATTACTTACAATGTACCCTCAACGCTTGGTAACCCCCGGCCGTATCATCTGAATCTCCGCGCAACCCGGCGCTTTCCTTCCCTCGCCCGCCCCGCAATAAACCCATTTTCGTCATATCTCCCTAGCTTCGCGCAGTCTCTTTTCCCACTCTCTCAACTAGGAATCAACAACAAAAAAACCCTTTGTTTGCTGATGGTTGCAATTCCCGGGATGCCGTTACCCCGCAATGATATCGTCGGGTGTTTACCTAACCATCCCAAGCCCCGCGCGCCCGCGCAATTCAGAGTTCGCGTCCGACGGTCGACACCCATCTTCCCGCCTTTTTTTCCGTCTTCTTCTCGCCTCTACTCTATCTCCACTTGTTGATTCGACGTCATTCATTCTAACGACGTCACCACCAATGACTCGACGCGTGATGCACGCAGGAAAAAAAATAATCAATTCCACATGGATCAAGTCCTCCCTTGACCCTCTGCTTTCGGCAGTACCCATCAACGGAAACCTCCAGTTCGGACGCGTCGAGTTAGGGAAGCCGCAGTGATTATGCATGCACGACATATATGCCGCGGGAGAATACCTCTCTTTTCGGTCGACCCTCCCATTGGCTCTTTGTCTTCCCCCATCTTCATTGGCCAGTTCATCCCTGTCACCTCATTGGTTCTCGCCCTTTGTTCTCCCTTTCCCATCTCCCCTTATTCGCTTTTTCTCGTTCCAGACCAGCGAATCACCCTACCCTCTCTTCATTTCCCAGTCATTCTTCCCTACCCTTTTTTACTCGGTCTACCGTATCCCCGGGTGGGGTTGGCTAAATCTTTCTTCCCTATCTCGCCCTCTATCCCATCCTGTGCGGAGCCTCGCCCCTTCCTCCTCATCTGCGGCACCGTGACCAGACATCGGCTCCGTTAGAGCCGTGGTAATCCTCCTCTTACACCAGACCGTCGCGTCTTTCTCCAAAGCCCAACGTGGTACGTCATTACGTCCCCCCACCCTCCGAGTCCTTCCCTGCTTGTCTCTCCTTCGCCCTTTCCCGGATATCTTACGTCCAAGGGGGGGAGCGAGGACACAAGTGACTCGTTACGTTGTAACGAGAAAAAAACGCACCTTATCCTAGGTGGGGCGTCTTCATCGTTTCCGATAGCGCCGTCCACCAACGCCAACTCCCTCCTTCTTTCTCGCCAAAACACATCTCCCGGCTCGTATATCATTACGTTGGGTTTCAGAAGAACCCTTCCCTCACTCTTTATCCTCAACATTCGAGCGGTCTCGATCCTGGCAACAATCAATACCCTTGTAGCCCACGTTCATTTCCACTATGTCAAGTGAGAGTCCTCTTTTTTTTTCTCACTCCGAAGCGCCACTAACTGCAGTCGACCTAACACGTGAAGGAGATAGACGCACCTGTGCTTCGTTATTGCTCCAGGCTTTCAAACATACCAGCCATCTAGTCCCTCGAGCCCGTCACTATACCGGCGCCACCGATTGTCTGCATGGTGTACGATTTACGACAGAGGCTCTTGGCGACAGGCGAGGCGTTCACCGTTGAGGCTAGACGTTGGTTCGAGCAGAGATGATACGCATCACACCCTCACCTCGCTTCATCATTGCTCCAGGCACTCCAAATCCTCGAATCCGCCAATCCTTTCTCTCGTATATCGGCGCCACGAGCAAGGACCGATTATCTGCATGGGCGATTTACGACAAGAGGTTCTTGGCGAGACGATGCGTTCACCGTCGAGGCAGGACGTAGGCTCGACCTGCTACGACCTGCCGTCGAGCAGAGATGATAAGCATCTCACCCTCACCTCGCTTTGTTATCGCTCCAGGCTCTCCAAATCCCTCACTCCTGTCCCTCGTATATTGGCGCCACGAGCCAGGACCGATTATCTGCATGCTGGGCAATTACTACAAGGGTTTCTTGGCGACAGGTAGAACGACGAGGTGTTTAGCTTTGAGGTCGGACGTAGGTTCGAGCAGCGACGTCCTCTTTCTCCATCACTCCATACTAAGTACACAATTCGTCGAGCTTCAAATTCTTTTGTATGCGAGCTACGGCGAAATAATAAAGTCTGATGTTCTTTGGATTGATATAAAGCAGGAGCGTGTTCTCCTTTATGACTTACAAGGAGAAACTGTCTCTAGTATGCGACGTACGTGCTAACAAACAGTGTCAAATTTTTGAGAACTGAATACCAAAAATTCACGGCAGGCAGTAAGATCTGGCAAGTTCCCTCTAGCCGACTTGAACGACTGACCTCGTCATTAAGAGATTTCTTAGCGGTGTATAACTCTACCAACTGAGCTAAGAGGAACAACACCTCACAGTGCACCATACACCCTACCTCGACCATCGCCCCACCATTATCATCCACGACCCTGACCATTACTTCCCCAAATTCAAAATGGGCCCTCCCGAAATCCCGATGCGACATTTATCCGTGCCCTCGTCAAACGCCACACGCCGATCCCCTTAAAATAACACCCGGGGGAGTAGAGATCGAACATGTTTATAGGGTCCGAGTTACTTATAAGTAGGGATTGGGGGGGGGTGTCGTAAACTAGGGAATATTCGTTGTGGAAATGGGTGGAAGCGGGCCCGACAGTGACTCACCGGTATTGGGGACTAGGCCCTTCTATTAGAGAGGCAGGCCTTTCCATTCAGAGTGAATAGTCCGGCAAGAACGGTAACCGCGCCCCCGTAGATCATTTTGGCGGGTCGGTCCCAGTACCACCGACGAGCCCCTCCCCCATATTTTCCGAACAGCCCAAAGGAAATAACAGAACGTAAGCAAGAGGGGTGTCATTCCGTTCGTGTGGGGCTGCAGCGAGAATTAGAAAATTATGAATGCACGCCTTATTTAAGTGCCTGTGTCACGTCTCGGGAGATTTGCAAAAATAATAATGTCGTTGGGCCTGAGAGTAGCGGAAGAAGTAAACGAGAGAGACAGAGAGAGCAAGTCTGGTAAAAAATCCCCCAGGTGGTCTGGTTAGCCGACCGACTCTGTGAACGCCAGGATTGCACCGAGGAATCGACGGAACTAGAATTCGCTCGTACTACGGAGTGCAATCAGTATGAGATTATTCAAGCAAATGGAGAAACACCGTGTCCCGTGGGTTCTATCGACGGAGAGGATTGGTAAGTCGACCCACCCAACAGCGCCTTGATAAGAGGAATGGCTCACCCAACAACAGGGGGCTACGGTAAATGAATAATTTCCCATGCATCATGGGGTCCTAACGGTGAAAGTTATCAAAAAAAACACCGCCTTGAGCAGCATAAAGAACAAGTTACTCACGTTCGGAGGCCTGGCGCCTTCTCTCCGGAAAGACGCTATCTCAAAGGGATTAAGGAGGCTGGATTTTTGGGTCGAGCTTGCCGGTATTATAACTAGTGGATATATGCACGCCCCGAGGTCATGGCTTTTGGAGGTCAAGGGACCGGACCGCAGGCAGGAAATATCAGAACTGGAGGCGTAAACAAAATTAGCATTTCAATAATAGATGATAAGGGCCGTAAAAGGCGTTCAATTCCGGAGAGAAAATAAATAAACAGCGTAGCGCCCTAAAAATAGACGCAATATAAAAAAACGAGGAAGCTGCCTGTACCATCATACTTCGCAAGGTCCGTTGATAGCTCACCAATGATGGCGCTGGCGAACGAAACAGTGACCGTTCAGAGCTCAGGTAGGCTGCGGCTGAGCGGGGGGGATGACGAACCAGGAAAATCTGAAGAATGGAAAAGGACCTTGGGGAGAAGTCCCTCGCGTTCGCTGCTCTCTTCCTTCTATCACCGCGAGTCGTATCCTTTGCAGGATATTTTGCTAACGTCGGAAAGAGAGACAATCTTCCCGTCTTGGTGATAGAAGCCTCATACAGCCGCGCACCATCGCCGTGTCAGGTGATACTGCGGAGGGCTAGCTGTTAATGCGATGCGTCAAGGAATGAGAAGAATAAGTGACTGACGCTTTGAAACTTTACGGACAGCATAGTATTGATGAATCGCCCATGCTGCGAAGGCTCCCGGAATGATGATTCCATTCACCGTGAACCTAGCTCTACACGGTGCCAAATGTATAGATCGCCGAGTCCCGACTCGACTTCCGTAGACCTGGAACATTAGGTTGCATGTGCACGCAAAAATAGTGGCGAGATAAATACAAATGATATTCATCAAATTCTCCCATCATCCGAACATTGTAGAAGGATAGAATCACCATTTCCTTGCTATATGGACTGTCGAAATCGCGCTTTGAGGGGAGACAAAGGCCAGCTTTGTCTTCTGAGGTTCGTGAATTGGGCGGATTCTGAACGTCAGAGGAGGAGAAACTCACAACGGAGGTATCAATACGATGGGAATATTCTTCCACTATGATTTAAGTTCACGAAGAAGCAGCGCAGAAGCTTCGCACGGAGCGATGGGAACCTAATTCAACGTATGCTGTGCGCCAAGGTTTGGCCAAGGCAAGCACCGTTGAGGAGTATATTGTTTAGCTTACGTTGTCCTCGCTCATGGTAAGAAACAACGTATGTGACGAACTTTGAAATCGAAGTTGGTGGAGTGTTATAAAGCGGTGGTCAAGGTTATCTCCGGAGTTGGCCGCGAGCGACAGGGTCATCATTAAGTTCGATGATAAGATAAGATATTCAATTTCTTTCGAACTTGATCCCCCTTTTGCTTGCCGATAGTGACGTCCTAGTGCGATTCTGTATGTTATACGAGGGTGTAAACTGCCAGAGCTTGTAAGCGACGTGTGACAAAGAGTGATTGTTTGAAGGGCAACTGACGCTGTATCCATGTGCTACACTCTCAGGCAGTGCTCATGAACGTGAAAGCGGTCGTTCAATGTAACCTTTCTAAGTGAAACTCGTCTTTAATGCATGAAGTCATCCACAAAAGGCAGCTTGACATCGGTTACCGGCCGTCGAGCCGTGCTCGCCCTTCGGTTGCTTTACCCTCAGATTCTGAAGGCGATGTTCGGGCGCGACAATGCAAGTCATGAACGGTTATGACGCTTTTCATTCGGTAACCAAATTTCTGTGGCGTTGACCGGGTACTAAGCGACAGTTCCTCCGGTCGATGGCGTTGGATTTAGTGATACACCAGACTCGTAGCATATGGACGGAGACATACCCAGATCACATGAGAAGACAGCTGCCGCAAAAGAAAATATTCGTGCAACGTGCATGGTCTGGGGTCGCAAGTAGGTGGGAAGATGTTCACAAGTCTATCAGCGTAAAATGAGTCAGTATATATACCACGAACATCGGCCCCATCAACGAACCGGTTATTTGCTAAGAATGAACTTTGAATTTCATATACCAATAATACCCTTGATCAAATACATGAATAGCCCGAGTCCTATGTCAGTTATGAATAACAACGCACCGACGAAGTCAGACCCTGATCTACCGACCACAGAAATAGGTGCCCTAAGGCCCGTATGTTAAGAATAACGGTCCGCGCCCCCCTGATCGACATTTCATGAAATTAGACTCGGGATGATAAATAAATTTATCCAGGACATACCTAAAGTTAGCTGAGACGCCGGAACGAGCGCTTCAGACAATTGAAAATGAGAGGATGATAAGAAAACGTCGGTTCGGCAGACGATTTCCTTATTGGTGCATTTCGAGCCGTCAGATACAAGGTTAGCTATCTTTTACACAAATCAGTTTCCGGAATCAGTTTCGGAATGTAGGAGATACAGATGCTTCTGAGCGGTAAGAATGATTTCCATTGTGCGAATTGCTCGTGCCACAGCAATGGACCTAGCTGCACCAGAGTATAGAGTGTCAAGTTCTGAAGAAACATGAACTTCGCAATCTGTCACAGTCATGAGGGAACAGTAAACCACACACACCTCAACTTTAAAGTGCCGTACAAGGCGACACAGCACCGAAAGAAGCTTAGACTTGCAGCCTTACTCTGGTTAAGGCGTTTCAATTGGCTCTGTATGGTCAAAGATTCCTAATACCAGCTTGTTCCGCGTCTTTGGAACTTGACGAAGCCTCCGACATTGAACCTAGTCCTACGCTCGATGATAACGGAACTTACAATGCGGTGGGGCTGTGGTGTCATCAGCCCAGGGATGTGTGAAAGAGCCAAGATGTGGGATCACGTTAGATCGCGGAGTTCCGCCGCCAATTGAATTGAGGACTGATGTTATCTTACGACGGAGCGTATTGGGCATCGCTTTTGCAATCGACGGGATAGCCGGAATTTAGCTAGGAACAGCACTAGGCCAAAAGTATCAACAGAGAACCTTATCTGGACCAGAGACAACACGCGGAGTCTGGTATTCAGTGTTGAACTTGCCCACCCTGTCACCGATCAAGAACCATGGCCTCGGAAGTGTCAAACAGAGTGTTCGTCACAGCGCGTCTTGCTATTCAATGGATGAAATGGGGACGATTACAATAGCGACCGAGATGAACCAAAGATGAACAGTACAGGGTCCGGTAAGATGTGCGTTACGACGTGGACCAGGAGGCATTACGCTATTGGGGTTAAGCTTTGGTCGCGTCTATGGAACATGGAGACGATGGAAACCAGCATCACCAAGTCTAGCGAGCCCTCGCTCCTACCCAGAGTCTCTTAGCGTGATCTTTCCTAGCCAATAAGGCGAGGCCTCGATGTTCAGACGCAAAAACCAAATACCGTTGATTCAATTTGGACAGTGTGCGCTCCGTGATGAGTATGATAGCAGCAATGAAATGGAATCGCCATCATTTTGGCCAAGACTTTGAGCGGGATGATGCCATTTGTGAAAACCCGTTTATGAGACTTGGCGATACTCGCCCTAGCTTGAGTTCCGTAAGACAGACTAGCCCTAGCCGGAGGCTTACGCTTCGAAGAAACTGACTAGATCACATCAGAGAAACCGTGGACACTTTCAATTGTAAGTCGAACTAGTTCCAGTATAGGTGCACTATTTCGGCGAAAATATAGGCTCGCGGGACCTGCAGCTAGTCTCCAAGATTTTCTCGTAGTAGTGTCGCGTTGACGATCGGAGGATCTAAAATATATCGTGTTAATAGAGTTGAAACCAAAGGATGAAACAGAGGCTATGTTGAGGAGGAAAGACAGATTGGGACGGAGAGATATCGAAAGCGTCCTATAGAAACAGTATTCGGTGAGCATGGTTTTATGATTGGTGCAGAAATTAAACTGTTCTTTCTTACACTGCCATAGAGATAAAGGATATTGAACACGTTCGTCAAGGTCGAGACGGAACAACCATCGGCCCGGGATAGTTCGGTCTTTGATTACGGCCACGTGTGTTCCCGATTTTCAAATTGCATTTCGCTTTAC